GTTTCGCTAAGATTTTTAGCATCTTCAGGGGATAGTTTTGTTTATTAACCTGCACATCAATAAATATAAAACATTAACCATACAACGACAGAAACGAAAAAATGATATGAATAATTTAGAAATAAATGACTCAGTTTTACAACAGAAACTTTTTGACTTACATTTAACATTTAATTATGGAACTTAAAAATAAAACTCAGTTTTCGGACAACCTTGGAATGTAGGTAACGCTGAAGTATTGATTTGTGGTGTTTGTTGTTTCTTTACATGATGTTCTATTTTGGCGGGTGTTTATTTCTGCAGTTATTTGTTTTATTAGGTCGCGCGTTAATTTTTCTGGGTACCTGTTACTTTTTAGGACCTTTTTTAGTTTTTTTATGTTGATGTGAAATTTCTTGTCACTCAATGTGAGCGCTTTGTGTATTAAATTTTTAGCCGTATTCATTTTGTATTTTTTAGGTCGAGATGATAAGAAATTTATCAGACGACCCGAAGAAGACGGTTTTGTATACCAGTCCAGTAGATTATTTTTTCTCTGTGGATGCGAAAGTCAAGAAAGGGGATGCTGGATTTGTCTTCCATTCCCATGGTAAAATGGAGTTTGTGGTGGTATTTGTTGAGGGTTTTTAAAATTACGTTCACGTCATTGCGGTTAACTATTGCAAAGATGTTGTCTACATATTTGGATATAAATTTATTTTCGATGTTTGAATGTTTTAGCTCCGAAATTGTATTGTCAAGTAAATCGTCAATGACAATATCCGCAATCGTGGGAGTAAGGAGGTTGCCCATTGGCATACCAAAGGTTTGAGAGTAGAATTGATTATTGCACACGAAGTAATTGTTGTCCTTAAGACAAAAGTCCAGAATGCTTTGGAATTTGTTCTTAGGTATCTTTGTCATATTTTCTATTTTCCCCCATTTTTTCATTATTATTTTTGAAGCTAAGACTGTTGGTATGTTCATAAACAAGGAGACCACATCAAACGAAACAAGTACATCTTCTTCACACACATTTATATCGGACAGTTTACTTTTTAATTTGAAAGAGTTTTTTATATTGTAGTCTTCAGAGATGAGTGGCTTTGGAATTTCTCCAACATATTTTGACAAATTGAAACATGGGACTTTACAGGACGAGGCAATTGGACGTAGAGGGATTTCAGGCTTATGGATCTTTGGCAACCCATAAAGTCTTGGAGCCGTTGCTGCAATACTTTTAAGATGTTGCTTTTCTTTTGCGTTTATGTATTTACATTTGTATAGGTCATCCACTAAGTTGTTATTTTTTCTTTGTAAAGTGTTTGTGGGGTCTACTCTTATTGTTTTGTACGTATTCTTGTCTCCTAATAGGCTGTTCATTTTTTCTATGTATTCTGTTTTGTACATTGCCACTGTTTTATTACCCTTATCTGCGTCTGTTATGATGACGGTGGTTGCGCGTGCTTAGAGAAAAATTTTTGTTTGTTTAAATGTTTCTAAAATTAACTTTTCCGCTGCATTGTTTTT